TTCAAGATGATATAAAAAAAAACATATCCAAAACTTAGGGCATGCTTCCTCACGATGTATTCTTTCACCGCTGGTCACATGTGTTCATCATATTTTACGGAAATTAGGTAGCTGTTTCCATTATTTATCAGACTAAATCATTTAATATATTTCTAAAAATTTTCAATGAAATATAATATTAGGTAATCCATTGAATTTTGTACGAACCTTCGTAATATTTTTAAGATATCTATCGGCTGTCCAGCTATGCCTTTGTGGCGTTTTTATTTAATCAATTTCATTAAATAAAAATAACTTAAGAAAAGTAAAAGTCAATTTCAAAGAACCAAAAAGAACAAAATAAACTCATGTTGTTAACTCGGTGCCAAGACTTAGTTTATGGAACAATAAAAGCCCAGATTCCTCAATGTCAATTTATGTAATTGTTCTTACATTTACTTTCCAAAGTTTATTTAAAGTATTTTTTTAACCTTATTAAGTGAACTGAGGTATATCAAAATCTCAATACGTCTAAATAGTTACATTAAAAACATAAATCCTTGGGTGTGGAATTTTGTTTCCAAACTGTAGTTGAGGTATATAATTAAAACCTATTTAATAAAAAAAAGAATCATCAAAATCAGTTCACAATTGACGAATAAAACGATAACATGCATACAAAATACTATAAACTCGAATTGAGAACTTATTTCTTTTTTGAAGTTGGCAGTTATATCAAAATACATATAATTATATTATAATTCATGATGGTAGGCAAAAGCCAATAGTTTTATTGGAGGTTTAAAAAACGAACACTACACCTTACATTTTGTAAATACTACCACTAACTTTAAAAGCTTAAATACATACATTAATAGAAATTTTCCATCATTTTGTGTTAGAAATTTATTCGGTTAGATCTACAAGGATGACATTCAAGCTTTGTTAATAATTAGCGACTATCCTTTTGTAACGCCAAGGGCAAAATTTGCTTTCACTTTAATCTACCAGAATTTTCCGTTCCTCATAATTTAATGCAAAAACAATTTTTCGAAGTTTTCTTTTATTTAAATAAATTTATATTTGTACCATAAAGCAAAATTGACGCAAGTAATGTTGTATTTACTCTTTTTATGCTAATATTACGTCACTAACATTTTGCTGAAAAGAAATGGAGCGAAAATTTAATCGAAATTTAATGGTATCACACTCACGGCACTAACATTTTATGATCTATTGTAAACGTTCTATATGCTCTATTATAAGTTTAAAGACCGACCGTATTTAAAGACCGTCCCCTTATTACTCATATTTTAATATATGATTAAGTCTAATAAAAAATGTTTTTAAGAAATTATTTTATGTATTCCTTACATTAGCGTAAATTAATCCATAGCCCCATTTCGTCCTGTGGCTGTTGTAAGATGCGAACATGGGAAATGTGAAAGGATTCCGCATCCAATAGATGATGGTATGCGTCAGGCGTAAAATTACCAGACCGGCGACAGAGCTTATGGTTAAAGATGCGAGACGTCTGGTATTGCGATCGTCAATCCGTCTGCCAAGCGTAAAGTTGAGGAGAGCCTCATATCCAGCACTACAAGTTCTATGTTCAGAAGTAGATTTGTGATGAACTGAAAGGATTATGATGGTTAAATCCCTTTGATTCCCGTGAACTGAGTGGTTAACTTAAACATAAAATGGTTGTTTTTGAAGTATTTGAGAACAGTAGTTGAATGGTGGATTTGAGTACACGAACTTTGAGTTCGCAGTCCGCACCCTAACCTTAATGTCCATTTTTAAGCTACAATTATGTCATGTCCTTGTAGATGAAGTTTCAAGAGATCAAAAATATTAGAAAACATAATTCTTTGTCTCGCCCTTTACATAAAAACCTTTTATACTATGAAAAATGTGAGTAAATATAATTCTGGATTTTCCTTTATCATAACTCTTTTATATCAATAGCTATCGTTATTTAATAGATAAGGCCTTGACATAACACTTAAGTGGTTTTTACGAAGTTAGCTTTATCGTTCTTTTATTTTTCCGATTCAGATGCCGATTATGTGTTTATTATTTTGATAGACATTTATTTTTTACAAAATTAAAGAGGCAACTGTAATGGACAATTTCAAACAAGTTTCCAAACAAAGGAGATAAGACATGGGTTGTCACCCTTCTGAGGGCTAAGATTAAAGGCCTAACCAACCTGTAATTATACAGGCTCTCTACACACTTCGGACCGGAATACAACAGTGTATACACTTTTGTATGCATATTCACCAAAATGGAGAAGTATTGGTATTACAGAATAAATATTTTGCGATTAAAATTGAACTTTCAATATTATTTGTACGAGTACAAATTATGGAATGTCAAATTCATTCATTAATAAAGAGTCTTTCGTATCTATTCTGGTAATGACTAAATTTATTAAATATATATTTAAAAAATCTAGTAATGTACCTATATAAAATATGTATCTCGGAACTGGATAGATATCATTATGTTTTAATTTTTTTTTATTTTAAGGCAATAATTAACAGTCAACTCTGCTGCTTTATCATAGTAATACTATTATTTGTTATGTATCAATATCCGGAATCCATCTTGAGTCAAGCACTAGTCTTTCCGCCTAAAGTCAGCACTTCCGGCTACCTTACCTGCCTGGAGGGGGCACCTCACCACTGTTTTGCTTTGTTATTTAAGCAGTGATGAGCACCAGGTCTCGTCATTATAGGTTGTTTTTCGCGCCATTCACAAGTCAGCCTTTCGTAAGCACAAAAAGTTTCAATTTTTTTCTAAAATAGCTACCCTACTGAAAAAAATATGGAGGAACAAAGTGTCGACGAAGTTACATTATTAAATTCTCAAAAACGTGTGCGTACTTCATCGTCGAGTTCGGATAGCAGTGATTCGTCAAAAATCAGTGTTTACAGTCAAACAAGGAGACACAAGAAAAGGAGAATGGATCAAACCGTGAGTAAAGAACATTTAGAATTTTTATCCCAGCAAGTGGCCTTTTTAACTAATATTATTACAAAATCTAGTGAAGTTACATGCCAAAACCAAAAAATAGTCCCTTCACTTAATCTTAACTTGCACCGACCTACAACAGAAGGCGGGGACAAAATAAACCAGCTCAAGCTATCAGATTTGAGTACCACGGTAAAAGATCCCATTTATCCACGTGCAAATGAAATACATTTAAAGAAATTAGTAGAATCACAGCGTTTTAATTGTGATGATTGGTATGCTGTACGGTTTATCGATGCCCAGAAGAAATGTTTATCTACCCCCGGTTTTGTCGAACTTGCTGTAAATGATTCGTTAAAACGATTTGAAACTGCAATGTTGCGCGGTGATCCTCGATCTTATTTGCTAGAACGTTCTTTCGCCGGATTAACCAACTCCTTACTTTGCCAAAAAGAGGAATTACAAAGAGCATTACAAGCACTAGTAGATTGGGCCAGTGATTCTCGACAAACATTGACTCCAAATTTATTATTTGATAAAATAGGAGAGTTATTTTCTAAAGAATCATCATATAGCAAAGTAACTGAAGATTTGTTTCAAATAGTTTGTGGTAGACGAACGGATCTAATTAGCTTACGCCGTGGTTCATTACTTCGACAAATTCCTGAAGAATATCATCGCGAGGTTTTGCAAAAAATCCCTCCTAACGTAGAAACTCTGTTTAACGACGATTCCATACAGACCTACCTTCAGAAAATTGGAGGGGCAGATAAATTAATCACTTCATCCCGATCAATGCCTCGTACTCAAAAAGAATTTTATGAAAATCAAAAGCCATCGACTAGTAAACAAGCTGATGATACACTTTTTCATCGAAACAATCCCTCGAAAAGAGGAAAACGAGCACCCCGCCTATCCAACCAAACAAATCGAGATAAATCGGGCAAAAATAGACAAAGAGGAAAGAAATCGCAATCACATTTTTCCTTTAAAGATGATCGTCGTAAATGACTCTCAAAAATTTCATGGCGGCTGTCTAAAACAATTTCAATATGTTTGGAGCAATTTAGGCGCGCCGGAACAAATATGCAGACTATTAAACGGCTCATACATCCCATTCAAACTCAAGCCGCCTCTAATACTTCCAAATCCAATTGTGATTCAGAGTTACAGGATCAAAACTTCCTTAAATATGACTCGCCAAATTCAAAGTATGTTAAAGTCCGGAGTACTCGAACAGGCGGAGCCGAGTGCCAGCTTCCTTTCCACATTCTTTTTGGTGCCAAAACCAGACGGCAGCTACCGTCCAATATTGAATTAGAAACAACTGAACAGGTTCGTCAAAACGAAACCCTTCAGACTGTTCAGTCACTTTCGAGTACCCACCTTTCTGCAGCATCAGGATTGGATGGCAAAATTAGACCTAAGCCAAGCCTACTTTCACGTTCCGATTGCTCGGCGTCATCGAAGATATTTGAGGCTGAATTATCCCATCAATTCAAACCAGCACCAACTGCTTCAGATGACCTGTTTACCGTTTGGCCTTTCCTCTGCGCCGAGAACGTTTGCCTCAATAACAAACTGGGTAGCAGAGTTTCTCAGGAATCGGGGCATCAGATGTGTAGTTTATTTGGACGATTTTCTATTGGCAAGCCAGTCGATGCAACAACTACAAGAAGATATATCTTTAACGATAAAGATCATGCAGTTACTGGGTTGGACAATAAATTTCGAAAAGTCCGTGCTGACTCCGACACAGTGCCTCGAGTTTCTCGGCATAACATGGGACACAAAACTCAATACAATGTCCTTATCGGAGAAAAAGTGCTTAACGCTACGTAACGCACTTCAGCAACAGCTCTTAAAACGCAAGTGGTCCCTCAAACAGTATCAGATCTTAATGGGGGACTCAATTTTGCCACTTACGTAACCCGGAGAGGTCGGCTTCACTGTCGAACACTGCAATACTTCAGTCGACAGTTGTCAAAGGACCACCCTTACCGCCAAGTGAGTATTCCACTACCAGTCAAATCGGAGATGAAATGGTGGCTACAAGCTGTAGATCAATCTGTACCGATACACACGAATGTAGTACTAACTCACCTTCTAACAACCGATGCTTCAGACATCGGCTGGGGCGCGCAACTCGGCAATATAAGTATCGGAGGGACCTGGACGAAACGGCAACTAACCTGGCACGCAAACAGAAAAGAAATGTTCGCAGTTCAGGCAGCAATATCACACGAACAAAAACTGCTACAGAACTCACAAGTGCTTCTTCAGACGGACAATCGAACAGTGGTGTCTTACATAAACAAGGAAGGCGGAAGCAAATCCAAAAAGCTTCTCGAGCAAACTCTACAACTACTTGCACTTCTAGACAAATTCAATATACACCTTCAGGCCCAGTACTTTCCAGGCAGATTCAATGTCGAAGTGGACGCCTTATCACGCCAAAGCACTTGCCCCGAGTGGCACTTAACAACAGCGGCGACATCCAAAATATTTCGAATGTGGGGCACGCCGGAGATAGACCTATTTGCGTCGAGTACTGCTCACTTGACCCCGAAGTATGTTTCAGTGAACATTCAGGACAAGTAAGCACAACACCACAACGCGTTTTGTCACCAGTGGCACTACAAACTAGCATGGTTATTCCCACCACCCAATCTTATTCCCAGAGTCCTAAACCATTTGAATCAAGCCAGCGGACTATATATATTAATTGCGCCGAAATGGAACAAGGTGTTTTGGCAAGCAGATGTTCAACGCCGAGCTCTGCACCCCCCTTATCAGATTCCAGATCTAGTCCACACTCTAGTAGACACGAGAACAGGCATACACCCTCCACAGATTCAAGACTTGCTCTTGGAAGCATGGTTGATTTTGGGTGGCAAGATGTGTTAACAGAATGGACAGATAAAGAACAGAAATTGTTAATATCAAGTTGGCGAGGCTCTACGATCAACACATATAAACCTGCATGGAACAGATGGAAAAAATGGTGCGAGTCTAATTCGGTTAATTATAAATATCCTCACCCAGAACAAGTAGCCCGTTATCTGGCACATTTACATTGTGATATAGGTCTTGCTTACAGAACAATTTTAGTACATAAATCTGTGATTTCAACATTCACTCACTTAACTTCAAAAGTAGATTTATCTTCGAGTTTTTTTATAAAACATATGTTAAAAGCAATATCTATGGCCCGTACCAGACCAGTAAAGCCACCAATTTGGAATCCTAAATTTCTTATGCAGTATATAAGTAAATATAATCCAAATGAAAACAATCTGTATGAAGTATCTAGGCATACTGCTACATTATTACTTTTGGCTTCTAGTCGGAGAGTTCATGACATCACTTTGTTACATATTGACAATAACAGTTTAAGAGACGACCAAAGTAGTATAATCTTATGGCCAGCTTTTGGTTCCAAAACGGACAGCATTAATCATAGACAGTCTGGTTGGAGGCTTAAAGAACATCCTGACAAAAATTTGAATATTATTTTCTGGATAAGACAGTTGCTAAAGATATCTAAAAATCGCAGAAAGGCTATAAATCATTTATTTATTACAGCTAGAGGTGACGCTAAGCCAGCATCCCGTACTGTAATTGCTGGGTGGGTAAAATCGCTTCTGAGAGAGGCGGGTATTGAAGCTACTCCTGGTTCAGTAAGATCAGCAGTATCTTCCTTAAATTGGTTAGAAAATTTTTCTCTAGATAAAATCCTTGAGACTGGTAATTGGAAAACTGTACATACTTTTCAAAATTACTATAAAAAAGAACTAAAGGAAATTGACATAAATAATTCTGTATCTTTATCAAATTATTTTGATGCCATTAATTGATTGATAGAGCAAATATATTCGTTGTATTTATTATTGTAATTGATAAAAGCAAAAATTATTGTCATTTATAATCAAATAATGTAATTGTGGTATAATATATAATTTTTGTTTGCTGTGTATCTCTTGCAATCATTCTTTTATTGTTTACCTTACACATTATAGCGTTAATAACTATAACAAATTATTAGCACCAGGTGATAACAAACACGTCACTCAAGATGGATTCCGGATATTGATACATAACAAATAATAGAGAGTTTTACCATAAAATAAAACTTACCTATTATTTTTTAATCAATATCCGGAATCCAGGTAAGGGCTACCTGGTGCATCATGAGTGTCATAATGACGAGACCTGGTGCTCATCACTGCTTAAATAACAAAGCAAAAACAGTGGTGAGGTGCCCCCTCCAGGCAGGTAAGGTAGCCGGAAGTGCTGACTTTAGGCGGAAAGACTAGTGCTTGACTCAAGATGGATTCCGGATATTGATTAAAAAATAATAGGTAAGTTTTATTTTATGGTAAAACTCTCTATTTATTTGTATTTCGAGTGTTTTTTTTAATTAAAAACTTTTAACCGAGGATGACCTGGTAAGACATGCAGAAAGTCGATGGATGCAGGTCACTCAGGACCGTGCTTTGTATCATTCCTTGGCGGAGGCCTATGTTCAGCAGTGGACTTATGAATGGCTGTAATGATAATGAACCGAGAACTCCTAACACAATGAGTGTAAATAATTCTAATATACATAAATAATAAAAAAGATCCCTGCTTATTTTATGTTATAACCATGCTATACCCGTTAAATATCATATGGTGACCAAAAACTTCATAAAACTCTAATTTAAGAGCATAGCCCTCGCACCTAAAACTTTCGCACACTATTTAGTTAGAATATATTAGTACTGAAAGGATCCCAAGCCAACGATAATATGTACAAAGTTTATTTATACAAGGCAACCCCTTTATTAGCACAGAAGATTATCTCAGTTGGAAGATATTGTATGCCGCCCATTAACCTCTAGCAATGACTCGGCAATGTATAGCTAAGCCCATGTTATCTTTATTGAGAATATATTAAAATAAAGTTTACCTTTCCAGTTTGATTTTCCTTGCTCTCATAAATGTCTTAATATCTTATACAACAAGTGTATTACGTATCATAATGAACCTTTCTCGTATTTATTTATTGTGCAAATGTAAAATAAACTTTGAGTAAATATTGCATTACAAAAATCAGATGCACAAACCTCTCATTTATTATCTTCCTAAGGGACATTGTATTCACTGACACAGAGATTGTCGGAGAGGAAAAGGGCAACGCACCGGCAGTAGCTATCTGTATTTATACGAACTATTTCGAATTACTTTTGAACAGTCCATCTAGCTCTCATACCTATATAGTTATAATTTTGCAAACCTAGTAAAAATCCTTTGCATAGGTAGAATCCTAAACTTTATGAATAAACCTTTAAAATTTCTTGAATTATCAAGATCTGATAAGTACCATTTGATGCAGGTGGCTCAGGACCGTGCTTTGTAGCATTCTTTGGGGGAGGTCTATGTTCAGCAGTGGACTTGTGAAGGGCTGTAATGATGATGATGATGATGATGATAAGTACCATTTTATCACTCACTTAATTCAGTAAGTAGTAAAACCGGCATTAGAAGGCGACGTCGACAACCCTGAACGTCAATTTAACTCCCTTTTCACATTTTTGACCGCAAAACATTTCAAAATTCCCTTATTAATCCAAATCGTTGTATTTAAAATCTACTACACTTATAATAAAATAAATTATTGGCTGATTAGGGAGAATTAATCCTAAGGAAAGTGTAATATATTGTATAGTTTGTAGGGTAGGTGGATATACTTATAAGAGATATGTCAAAGGGGTGTAGACGGTTAGGCAAGGTTTGTGAATAGACGTGGAACAATCGAGTGTTTTATTTTACAGTGGTGACGAGGAATATTAGTTATAATAAGTGTATAAACTGAAAAAAAAAGGTGTAAAACAATGGCAAATATCGGCAGGCTCGGAGAATTCGATGTGTCTCATGGAAATTGGAAATCATATTGTGTTCATATTGTTGTTCAAAAACGGTCTGGATGAAAATATGAGGGATCAATTTGTATGTGGTCTGCGCAGTGATTCAATGCGTCAAAGATTATTTGCTGAAGACTGTTTGAGTTGGGCATGTGTCGTGAAATTAGCTACAATAATGGAGGCAGCGCAGCGTGACTCATCGGCGGTATACGGCACGGGCGCATGCAGCATCAGCGAGGTAGGCTATGAAGCAGACAACCTCGTGTAATTTATTTATTTATTGACCAAAACATTACATTTGTACACATATTATATAGATAAACAGTGTAGTGGTAGTGTAAGAATACACACTACGCCTTGTCGTCCTATGGGTGTCGCAAGAGGCAACAGAGGACATGGCCAACAGCATCTTACTAATAACAACACAAAATAATAAAAACATTTACAACTTTCCCGCAAAGCATAGCAACTATGACAAAATCCCTCCTAAGAGGCAACTTATGGGGGAGGACTAAGTTCAGCAATGGACTTTTATAGGCTGTGATAGAAATGGACATATAAAAGTTACAATTAAATAATCACCCGACGTAAACTTAAGAAGGATTATTTGCCAGGTGATGGGTTCAGTTTTACACTTACATTTTTGAATTTAACATTTATATTTCTATAATATGTATATTTTAAGAGAAAATATATATATATATATATATATATATATATATATAAGATAATTATTTTCCATATTTAATATAGTCTTATTCTAATTAAAAGATTTTATACTTTTTAATAGCTTTAATTCATTTGTAATATATTATATATATTATACTAGTTGACCAGTCAGACGTTGTTCTGCACTTTCTGACGACCATTTTCTTTCCTAAAAAAAAACTGAAATTACCAATAAAATGTATGGTCACTTATCGGGATAAAATGCAATTGACGCTTATTGAGAAATATTTGGCTTTAATAATTTCATTTACAATTAATTTTAAAACTTTACTTCGCAATATATTTCAATAAGTTCTTCGCAAATCGTTGAAGACAAATATGACTGTCTTCCTTTCCCAACATTACCATATTTGACAATTGCGAACTACTCCGCGAGTTATTGTAAAATTCCCAAATAGTTGTCGTTATGTTGTGAACGAAGAATTTCATCATCATCACGAAATGCTAATGCACGGGATAGCAAAAATTTAATCCCTTATACTACTCTTTGTAAAACTTTTATCCAATATTCCCTTTCTTCGGTGAATTTAATTTCCAAAGAGGCGTCAAGTCGGCCGTGAATACATCGTCTACTAATCAGTGGCTGCACACATTCTTGAACTCTTTGCGACGCATTTTTCCAATAAGAAAATCCAGTTTGAATTTGCGATTGGCTTTGATCTTCGCCAAAAAGAACAAATGGAAAGCAGTATAATATTCCAGTGGATGGAGAATACATGACCAACTCTCGTTTAATTTTACATCCACATATGTGTTTCCGAAAAAACATAGATTGAGAAAAAAGATCGTTTACTGTCGTCATATTGTCGGCTTGAAGCAAAAAAATCATACTCAGTGTTGACATTCGTAAGGATCTCTAGTACACCAAAATTCTTGTACTTCGTTGCTAATATTTTGCCATAAGCCAATGTCATTCTGGTGTTCTACTCCTAGGTGGACTATGTTTTAGTGTAGTAATGGGACCTCGGCTTCGGCCTCAATTTCCTCTGCACCCGCTAAAGTAGCTGTTTCTTGATGCTGGTCAGTCTGTTCAGAACACTCGCGATTGGCGACTAAATCCGAGTTGGAAAAGGTTTTGTGTCGTCTTTAATAGTTCATCATGCTTGTTTGTTGTTCAAGTCGCATATTAAGTTTTTCTGAACCACTTGGTGTTTTTTGTTTACCATCCTCCGACATTTTCTTACCTACAGAAATGGTAAGCAACCGTTAGAATGAAAATCGACGCGAAAGAAATAGTAATAATTTCTATAATACTTATCTACACAAGAAAATCTTTGTCACTCTCGTCGTAAAAAAAATAATCTAGCAATCTTATCCTAATTCGTAAGTTTTGTAATACAGAGTACAGTAAAACTTTTTAAACTAAATTTACGATCACTCACAAATTACTACGTAATGCATCCAACGAATCGGGGATTCCCCCAATGTGAATGAAGTTTAGTGCTCACTCAACCGATCGCTCACCGGTTTCGGCTTATATCGAAATTCATAAAGGACAATGTCCAGAATTGCCCTGTGTAATAAAAGCATCGGCATTGTAATAAAAGCAATTAATTATCGCATAAACGATAATTAATTTTCTATTTTATAATATTAGTTGCAAATACTTTTATAACACGGACTAGCTGCGTGCAAAAATGAACATTAAAAAGTATTATACTCGACTAATAATTATTAATCGCCGCCATCTTCGCCAAATATCATGTGGTGTCGAAAAATGATTAGGGATGCCCAATCAATTGTAGTCGATTTTTGAATTTTAATGAACTGTTTTATAAGTTTTAACTTTATTCGAAATAAATTCAAAATGTAAGAATTTATTTTGAATAAAGTTGCAAAAAGAAGCTACAATAAAAATAATTAATTACCATATCTTTATGTTCTATATTATTTCCTAAAAGAATATTTTAAAAAAACCTACTATACCTATTAAATGAGGTAATACTTAATTTTGAATAGGTGGTTAGAATAATGCTGAAGAAAAATATTCGTAAAGATTCTGAATTTTCGAATTATACAGGATTTTCTAATGATAGTTTAGAAATGTGTGTATTTTTCGTCTTACTAAATGATAACTTACGAGTTTACGACAATTAATATAAAAAAAACACTTATCGTTATTGCATTAATTATATATGTGTTCTTTAAAAAGAGCAATATTGCAGACTAGATACAGATGCTATTATTTATATTGTTACAAGTATGGAAGAAGTAGAAACGTA